CTGACGATGGATCGTTAGATGCAATTGAATTTAACAGTGAGTAAATTATTTATAAGATACCATTGTCTTCTATAGTTATAACTACTCTTTTTGTTTCAGGTGAATCTGATCATGATGCAAGTTTAAGTGAGGATAATGATGGTAATGCGTATGACAGCGATGATTTGGACGAAGATTTAGAAAAATTGAAAACTTCTGACCCAGAATTCTATAAATATTTAAAGGAATGTGATAAAAAACTGATAAATATGCCTGAACAAGATAACGATGAAAGTTTTAATGATGATGATGATGATGACGATTATGACGAATATGATGTGGAAGGAATAAAATCAGAAAAAATACATAAACCACCTAATAATTTAGAAGTAAATAATGTGTATTATACTAATATGTAACTTTGTGTAGATGTTAAACTTTTAAGGAAATTCCTTAATGTTGTAATATTTTAGATTGGAAGTGATGAAAGTGATTATGATGAAGGACCAAGTAATAATGGAGGAGATTTAACTGTTATTACATTGTCAATGATAGAGACTTGGAGACAAAAACTTCAAAATTCGTAAGAACAATTTTTATGAAAAAAATTTCATTTAATGATATGGTTATAGGTACATATAAAAATCGAATATTATAAATTATTATTTTAGAAAACAAAAACTCAAATACATTACAACAGCATCCAAGGCAATGACAGCTGCACTTCAACGTATAACAGCAAATGAAATTAATAAGCCTACATGTTATAAAGTTGAAGGAAGCTCAGGTACATATATAGTTTAGTTTAAATTAAATGTTTTTTTTTTATTAATATGTTATATATTTTTTAGTATTCAATGCAGTACTTCAAATGTGTATGTTTGATTTGCAACCAGCTCTTTTGAAATTTTTGAAACTTCCTCCTGGTACATCATCAAAAACCATGATTTCTAAATCAAAGCATTGGAAAAAAGTGAAAATGACTCTACGTTCATATTTAACAGATCTAACTAGAGTAATAATTATTTATTTTTTTTATTGTTTAAGTTAATTTAATTGATAAGTTTGATATAATATCTTCATTGAAATATATTTATGTACTTAAAATATTACTGAACTAAATTTTACAAAACAAAAGTTAATTAATTCTTAAAACTTCTAAAATTACTTAGAAATAATTTTAAATAATTTCAGTTATTGACTACAGTATCTAGTGAAGACATTACCTGTGTTCTATTAAAGCATTACCACCAAATGATACCATTTTTATCATGTCTTCCAACAATTGTCAAACCAGTTTTAAAAAGATTTGTGGCACTATGGAGTGCTAATGCAAGTGAAACAGTTAAAGTAGTATCTTTCTTGTGTATCTTGAAGTTAGCTAATAGTGATTTATCATCTTATCTAGAAATGACTTTAAAGGTAATTCAATTTAAATTATTTAACTGGAAATATTTATGTAATTTATTGAAAATAATATTTTAGGCTATGTATGTGGGGTATATTTCAAATAGCAAATTTGTTACTCCAAATGCCTTACCTGGAATTAACTTCATGAGACAATCATTGTCAGAAATGTTTACTATTAGTGAATCAGTATCTTATAACCATGCATTTTTGTATATAAGACAATTAGCCATTCATCTTCGATCAGCTGTAACTTTAAAAAAAAAGGTACATTAACCATATTAATTTTTCTATTTATAAAATATGTATTATATTAAACTTATTTAACTTATATTTTTAAGGAAAATATACAATCTGTTTACAATTGGCAGTATATATATTCACTTAAATTGTGGACAGATGTTTTGTGTGCCACATTAAATAAGAAACAATTGCAAACTTTGGTTTACCCTCTTGTTCAAGTAAACTAAATAAAAGAAATTTAAAAAATGTATTTTATATTATTGAATATTAAACAATTATTATATTTTTTAGATTATTATTGGGTGTGCTAAACTTATACCAACAGTACAATATTTGCCATTAAGATTTCATTGTATTTCAATGTTGACTAAGCTTAGTAGAGAAACTGGTAAATTCATACCAATTTTACCACATATTTTAGAGGTATTCATCGATTAAGTTATGCATAAATCTATGAGGTGAAGGTTTGTACAATATATTAATTTTATTTTTATTTTTAAGGTGCTTACTATAGTAGATTTTCAAAAGAGACATTCAAAAACATCAATGAGACCTATGGACTTTACTTGTATATTACGTTTATCAAAATCACAATTACAAGAAAACGTATTTAAAGATGCAGTTATAGAAAATATACATAGTGCTTTAATGGAATATATTGTAATTGAAGCACATACAATCAGTTTTCCTGATATAGTTGTACCATTTATTATCAAAGTATGTTTTATTTGCACTTATTAGGTATATAATTTGGTTAAAACCAAGATTATTTTAACATTAACACTATTATTTATTTAGATGAAAGAGTTTCTTAAAAATTGTAAAAATATTAATTATACTAGAAAGTTACGTACTTTGTTGGATAAAGTTAAAGAAACATCAACTTTTATATGTGAAAAACGAGGAAAAAGTGGGCTTTTACTTCATGATTTAAAAGGTATTGAGGCGTGGGAATCTGATATTAAGTTAGCTGGTACTCCTATGTCTCAATATTATGATAGCTGGTTTAAAATAAATCAGCAGCAAGTTGCTAGAAAATTAACCAATAATATTGCAGTAAGTTATTTGATTTATAGTAAAAATTTATTTATGAGTGATTTATGATAATTTTTAATTTATTAGCTTGGAGAATTCAATATTCCTACTTTAAAAAAACATAAACCAAAAGAAAATGGTGGAGGACCAGCTGAACTATTTCCTTCTGATGATGAAGAATATGAGCCTAATTTTGGGTAAGGCATTTTTAGAAAATAAATTCAATTTTAATTTTAATGCTAGGCCTATCAAACATTCAAGTGATTAACCTTTTAGATATGTGGTTTAATTTCATATTATCTAAATTAAAAATAATAAAGAACTAGATAAAACTATAGTTTAACATTCTTTATAATAAATAATAATTATTATTATTAACACTAACATTTGATCATTTGATAATTGAACAAAGTAATTCTTTATAAAAAACCAACACTAACTTTATTATTAATTTATTATTAGTTAATTTAAATTTATAAATTAAAAGTTTCATATTAAAAATAATATATGTCTGAGTTTAGGTCTTCAGAAGACGGAAAGAGTGAAGATGAAAATGAAAAGAGTGAAGTTGAAGATGATGAAGATGATGAAGATGATGATGATGATGATGATGATGATGATGATGATGATGATGAAAGTTAATAAATCACTCATTATTTTGTACAACTTTAAATTTTAAATACTGTGTAATTAAAATATTGTTTTTGATTATTCCCAGTAAAAGAAAAAAAGATTAAAAATTGTAAAGCACTAATAAAAAATGTCAATTGCATATTTTAATTATTGTATTCTCTAATAATGATGTGTAATCCATTTGATTAATCCTGGATATTGTACTATTTTGTTTTTGTAGTCATCTTACTATGAAGTCTGTTAATTGGCTTGTTAAATAATTTTGGTTCTTGTCAGTTTTTGTTCTACCACAGTTAATAGGTCGGCTTTAAAAAACTCAATTCTGTATTTTCCCTAATTGCTTAAACATAAGTAGAAAGCAGAAAAATCACAAATATAATTTTGTAGATCTGATTTGTAGAGTATATACTCAAGGTGTATTGAGTACTTATCGTTTTTGGTAATTTTCTAAGTAACCAAATAAAAAGAGGGAAATGATAACTGCTCTGCTGTACAACTGTATACTGTGTTTAATAAACTTCACATGCTACAGTATTTACTAAAATTAGTGAGTCTTATTGTATTGTGTTAGTTAAATGCATTTGAATAAATTGATAAAACAGCATCTCAATACAGTTCTGAAGCAAACCTATATTTCTAAGTACATTTTATAATATATTTATATTGTAGTTAAAATAGCAATTTGTTTTATAAATAGGAATATGCCAGTTAAATCATGTTTACCAAAAACATTTAATATGATATTAATACTTTTGTTTTACTGTTACCAGTTACCACAGTGTGAATAGGTAGTATAAATAGGTATTAGGTAGGTACTTAGCATATAATTGTAACAGTTAATAAGAAATTTCAAAGATGTCACCAAATATTAAAAATATAATAACATAAAATATTAAAAATATTTTTGAGTTACAATAAAATATTTAGAATCGTTATTTTTTATTCAAATATCTTATTTGTTAAAAGTAAAATTTGAACTTCAAATGCTTATAAATAAAATAATGTATGTACCTTAATTTTCAATATTTTACATTACTAATAGAATAACCAAAGTGGAACATAGTATTCCATTTTACATTTTATTAAAAAGCTTATTTTTTTCAAAGAAATAATGTTTTTAAATAAAAAGAATATTAATGTTTATCAGTAACAAAAAAAAAAGTTAAGATATTTTTAAAATTATACCATGTATATGAAATTCTAGTACATAAACATATTTTTGAAAAAATTTAAAGTAAATTCACACGTAATTGTTTTTCTTTATTTTAATGATTTTCGATTATTTTTTGAAAAGTATTAGTAGTTTTATAATTTTGGCTAGTCAAAGTACCATCTGTAGGTCTAATTTTCTATCAGAAACTACCTTCAAAATTGAAGATTGAAGGATTTTTCTACTATAAATTGTAAATTATGCATACATTCAAAAAAAAAAAAAAATTTCATAATTGTTAATTAATGTAATATTCATCATTTCATTATTCATGAATAGTGATTATTGATTATTGCTTTGCTGAATGCTAATACCTAATTATTCAGAAATTAGAATTCAAAAAAACACTAGAGCAAATCAGTCTGTATAAGATACCTTTATTACATACATATGTGAACATTATATTTTACTTTGTGGTTACACTGTCTAAAATTGATAGTGTGATATTTTGATTTTTAAAGATAATTATTAGATAACAATTAATATTATTTAATATTTATTATTTACTATTTAGAAGTTGACTAATATTGTGAATTGTGATATTGCTTTATGTGTCCAAGTACCAATTTCTAATTGAATTAATGCAAATCTTTTATTATTGTTTGAAAATATAAATCAAAGCATTGTAGCATAAAGTTTTAGTTTTAACATTAGCTATGAAACATTTAAAATTCATTTCGAGGACTGTGTTGGTACGGAATGAAAATGTGGATGAAGCCTGCCGTTTATTGAACCGAATAATGGGTTCCGAAGGTTTTTTGGATCAGTACAGAAGAACAATGTTTTATGAAAAACCAACGCAAATGAGAAGGAGAATTAATTATGAGAAATGTAAAGCCATTTATGATGAAGATATGAAGCGTAAGATTAATTTTGTACTACGTAAAAACCGACCAGAGCCATTTCCTGGATGTTATTAATCAAGTTTAGTTCAAATATTTTTACATAAAATGTTGTTAGCATAAATATTGTAATATTATAGTATTGTACACTATTATACTCAAAATATTTTGTACATTTTGAATTCAATATAGGTACTTATTTTGATTAATGTATGTTATTTTATTATTATGATACATTTATCACTTTTAAGTGATTATGAGCAGAATACAGCTCACTACCAATGTGTAAACAATTTAATACCTAATATTAAATGATGTTACAAAGATCCTACTCTAGTCATAATTCTTGAGTAACTTTTATCACATATTTTACTCGTACATTAATTTTATAATTATCTGAGTAGACATAAGTTAGTAATATAAAATATGTGTTACAAACTCCTACCATTAGTTAGTTAGTACTACATATATTTAGGCAAAATTTTAAATGAACTTCTCCTATGTTTAGTTCTAAGAATTAAACTGAAAAGATAATTTTTTTGGTGGTGATAGTACATTCGGATTCCCACTGGCCCGCAGTAGTGTCATAACAATAAAATAATGTTAATTATCAGACCCTCTTTGAATTTGAGTCTGTCTCTAGAATCTCTGGTTAAGTTTTGATAAACAAACTCAAGTGCATAGATTTTTATCTGTTTTTATTTTTAGAGCATTGTTTTAAAATTTATTTATACAAAGTTGTATTGTGCCTTGGTATGCATACAACATTTTTCTCTAAAGGATAGTTAAAAATTAAAAAATATCAAATATGTATATCAAAAATGTGCTATGTATGAAATTGTCATCTTATATGTGTGGCCGTTGGGTATCATCAGCTGTATCATATGAATTCAATTTTAATTACCATACAGTTACAAATAATGTATGCTCTTACCAAAAATTTTGTCTCAGACTTTAAGATTAAATATTTTTATTTTTGAATGGCCCATAAATAGAAATATTTAAATATTCGTGATTTCAACACTAAATTTAAAAAAAATAAAAAACAAAAACCAATACACTTAGTCTGCTATATAGTTAGTTAAAAAGTGTACTCTATATAATTGAATTGGTCACTGTAATGAGTATGTTAATTTTGGATTAATATAACTTGGTGAATATGAAAATTCTGATAAAAGGAGAAAGAGGAATCAACATTAATTTCTAAAGATAGATTATGGTTATTGATTATTATATTCATATTATTACAAGCATTTAAATATTTCAGTTATTAAATACTATTAAATTTTTGTTTTTAAACTTAACAAAAATAAAAAATAAAAATATGATATTTAATTTGTGAACAATCTAAAAAAAAAAAAATCATAAAAATATTCCGAAGAAATATTTTAAAAATAAAAATATTTGATGGAAATTTTAATTTAAAGGTAAATTTTTTTTAAAATTTGAATTATACAAAAAAAAGGGGAAGTAGGTAACTACTCTGCAGTATAGTTAGATGTCAAATCTACCTCGATATTGAGTAAGTCACTATAATGTATGTATTAAATTTTAGTTCAATGATAAATCGTTGTTTAAGAAAAAAGATTCTGAGGAAAAACTATCAGCCTATATTACAAAGTATATTTAATGATACATTCATATTGTTATTAAAGTATATAATATTGATCACTAGGATTTGGAAGTTGATAACTTTAAAAAAATTAAAAAATTACAAATAATTAAAAAAAAATTGTTTTTAAATTTATAAAATGTTCACTAAAACAAGCAACAGATTTTAGCCAAGTACGCTGTCTGGTCTATACCGGTTGTGGTGATAAAGAAGTATTAAATTACATTTTCTTGAAATATTGAACACGTGATGGGCATTTCAAAAATACTTTATTGATATTAATTACAGTAGTCACTCGATAATTCGAAATTCAGGGGACCAAGTTAAAAATTCGATTTATAGAGGTTTTCGATTTACCGAGTGTTTGAATAATTGAGGAAAAATAACTAATTCGAATTAAAGAGAGGTGAAAAATTATTGTATGTATGTACATATTACATTTATTTTGACATCTATTTATTATACAAAATATACATACATATATATTATTATATTTTATAATTATTAATTTATATTTATTTATTATATTATTATTATATTTTACATATTAAAGAAATCTGTTATTTTTTTTTGTGATAAATTGCAGGCCAGTGGCCACAATTTGGTTTATAGCGTTGTCTAACTTATTGATATCATTGAAAATTGTATCGCATCTTTTTTCGTTCATTTCAGATTACTCAAAAAATTGATGTAATCCTGACAAAATTTTAGATTAGGTAGGTAAGGTACGATAACGTTTATCAACTATGATAATATTAAACCACCAACGTTACAACTTATAAGTTTCAATACGATTATGTCAAATAGATTGTACGTTATCTTCATATGTATGTACACTGTACATGTATATGAACTTACATATAATTGCGTTTAAGGAAATTCGAATTATAGAGGTTTATGGAATAAAAATTCAAATTGTAGAGTGTGTCCCACCGTCAGACATTTCGAATTATCGAGGGGATCGGAATACATGCATTTTCTTCTAATTATAGAGGTTTTCTCAGGGGACTTAGCGTTTAGTTCGATTTATGGAGTTTTTCGAATTATCGAGTTTTGAATTAACGAGTGACGACTGTACTAAAAAATGATTGATTTACTTTTGGGAAGTTTTTCGAATTTCTTCCGTAACTCTATACAATAAAAATTAGTTATTTAATTTCAGATGTTATTAACACATAATCAGCTAAAAAACATTGTTTAAGAAATTAAAAAAAAAAAAAATACAAAATACATTAACTTTTGAACCCTAGTGATTACATTTAACAGTGTCTACTATTAAATCTCGACTGAAGTGTACTACGGCGTTATACTAAAGGTTTTATTTTGATTTTAAAATAAACAAAAATTGTTAATTTAAAGACGCTGAATGTCTTCTTTTTTTTCAATTTATACACAAACTTTCACCTATGGTTGGCACGTGAACAGTTCTTGAAGAAAAAGTTTGGATAAATTTGATTAATTATACAATTTATAAATATTCATAAAAAGAAGACTACCTACTACTTACAAAATATTTAAGATACTATAAAATTAGCTAGTAGGTATACAGAGAAATATAAAAAAATAGTAGTTTGAGTTAATACGGTCTGAGCAGTAAGAACACTATTGTTTATTGTTATCGTATCTAAGAGCGCTAATTTACACCTATATAATATGTTATGTGACTATAATAGGAAGCTTACAAATAAATATACAATTAAGATTGATAGCATGTAATATGTTTATTTATTCATTCAAGTAAGTTCTTTTAAAAGCATAGGTATAGTAAATATAAAAGTATACTATGACTTACGCGTAGATACTTACAGAATAGGTATAAATAAATTATGATTGAGGAGGAACAGTGTAATAAATTATAATGATTAAATAAACACCAAACTACAACAAATGTGTTATAGGGTGTAAAAAAATGTATTTAATTATTTAATTTTACTAATAATTTTTAAAATTATAAATACAAAAAAAAACTTTTTGGTTCTCAATAGTTATATTTGTTCCCTTTATTGACTTAAGGCGTTCAATATGGACCTCACAACTTCACAAATAACATTCACCCTATAGTTATAAATGTTATAAAAATACTTAGATATCTACCCTATATATAGAATTAATAAAACAAGTGATTTAAATATATTACGTATGATATAGTACTTTAATATTATAACTCATATTCAGTTATGATGATACCTATACAATTAAAATATTTAGTACATATAACTAAAAAAAAAATTATTGTAAATCTTGTAAATTTAATACTAAAAAAATAAATCAAAATTTATTAAGTTGTACTAAAAAGAAAAAAAACTATAGGTATTTTTAATTATTTTAATTAAGTAATTAAAAACAATTTATAAAATGAAAGTTAAACAACAAATGTATCAAATGTTTATTAATAGTTTTAATTGACAGAAATTAAAAATAATATAATTATTATATGAGTTTTTAATATTGTATTGAAATGAGTGTGTTCGTGCATTTTATAATAAAATAAATTATTTAATCCAAACTTGATGCTATAATAATTTAAAAAAAAAAAAATTTTATACAAGAATATTGATATTATACAATAAACTCAACAAAATTTGATTTTTTTTTTAAGTAGAGGAAAATATTCTACAGCCGCATTGAAGTCTGTTTTTCAATATTTTAACTTTAAATTTTATTATATGTCTTATAAAATATTTTTTATCACTATTTGAAGCAAAATAAAAAATTATAGTTTAGTGGGGCTGTAGAAAGTATTCTTTCTTAAGATAAAAAAATAGTTATCAAAATCCGATACTTGAGAGTTTTTCTGTGAAGTTTTTTTTGTTAATATAATATATAATACCCTTCCCCTGGTCCACCACTAAATACATTTCAAGCATATTGTATATACCGATTAGGCTTATCAGGATTTTGTATACCTTCATCTAAGTGGTTTTTGAGAACAGCTTTAATTTAATAGTGTAATATTGGTCAAGTATGCAATGTTTTTGATTATAATTCTTCTTTTTTTTCTTCCGTCATTTTATTACGGTCATTAATTAATTATACCAGATAAATAAAATTCATTAAAGATTCAAAATTATTTTTACTGGTTTTAATGTTTAACATTTTTCTACAGATACTTTCATGCATTTAGTTTCTACATAAATATTATATTATATGATAATTTTATGTTGTACTGGAATTGTGAATTCTGATTACTGTATCTACATTGAAGGATATAATAATAATTAACACACCCATCTGTTTATTAAGTAGATTTTTTTTCATGTGGGCGGGATCGCTAACATTCACCCTCTGGTAACTGTGACTGGGTATGATTTTAAATGAGATTACAAATAAATCCTGAACATTTTGTAATGTACCTATATTGCCTATTCATTACGCCGTGTGACTTTGAAATTCTAGACACCGCTGATGAATGTATTATACACCCATCTTTCGAGTCTTGCCGACTTTTGTACGTAATAATGTGTATTGCAATAATTGTACCCAAATTTCCTTTAAACAATTAAGTTATAATTTTGATTGATAAATGAAATTTATATTATCAACTATC